CTCTAAGGCACGAACCTTATCAGAGGAGATTTTCAAATCAGCTTGAGCTTGAGTCAAGTTTTGTACTAACTCTCCTGCATACTCTTCTTACTTGTTCAAGAGTGCCTTAAGTTCTCTGATTTCGTCACTTGACTTTGATAACTGCTCTGAAAAGGAACACTCAAGGCGCTCCTTATCCTTCTCGGCTTTACTAAAAGAAGCCTTTGGCTCCCGCTAATTTGGAAGTCAGAGTCCATTTTTGCTGCTCCAGGTTACGGTTGCTTTCTTGCAATTCTTTTATCGTTTCTTGAGCATTTTTAAACTGTTCCTTCCAATTAGTTGCTTCCAGCTGGGCTTCCTTAGCTACCCTCTCAGCCTCGAGAATAGTCTTATCAGATTCACGAGCCTTCTTTTCTAAAAGGGAAATTCTTCCCATCAATTCCGTGCCAATAAGGTTGGCCTACAAAGACAACTCATGAAAATAAGAATCTAGAGATAAAAAAAAACTTATTAGAAAGTAAAGGAAGAATACCTTCAACGTAGAATGAACTATGTCATTCATCAAAGTTAAGCAACTGTGACTGTCCATCTTCTTCTTCTCAATGTCTCCAATTAAAGGCTCAAGCCAGACATCTGCTCCACCAGACTTCCTTAAAAGGCTGTTATTAGCAGGAACCTCAAGTGTTACACTCCTCATAGCCAAACTTCTGCTACTGGAACCCTCCTCTGCATGCTGAACAGAGGAAGGGGGAGCTATAGAAGGAGGAACGGTAGAAGAGGTGAAAATAACAGGAGTCGAAGGAGTCGAAGCAGGTAAGGGAGCAGAAATTGGCAAAGAAGCAGGAACAGATAAAATGGGCAAAGATGTACTTGAAACCAAAGGAGGAATAGAAGGAATAAGAATGGAAGAGGAAAGAGGAACTTCATCTAAAACCGGACCTAGTTCACCACTTTCGAAACCGTCAGCGAAGAGACGTTGAGTGGATTCAATGGTGTCCCTGGGAATGGTTTTATCATCGGAAACAATATTAACAGGAGAGGAGGCACGGGCAGGAGAAATTTCAGCTTCATCTTCGGAAATGATGCGTCTCCTGGCTCTAGGTCTAACTATCAAAGAGGTGTCTTCATCTTCGTCATCCTCAGAATCCTCTTCAACAACTTTCCTCTTTGACAGCGTAGCTTGTGCTCTCTCCAAAGAAAGAGGAGTACCAAAAGAGGCTCGAAGGGCAATAGCTACTTCAGCTGACATTCCTCGAATAGCAAATCCTGACAAAAAGAAGGATAAAAAGTTAAAAGAGGGGAAAGAATTTAACTTACGGGAAAAAATAAGGGACGCATACCGTGAGTTTTTACTTTCCAACCATGTTTGTTAGAAATAGATTTCCAGGTTCGTGCCTCCATAGGCACGACCTTCAAAATAGCATCTACCCAACCACGGAAATTAGGAACGGGTTCCACATCTCCCATGGTTGCTACAAAAAAGCAAAAAAAGAATGAAATTAGAAAAGGAGTTGAAATAAAAAAAAGAAACAGATACGGTAAGGAAGAAATACTTATGTGCAAGGTTCCATTTCTCAGGAAAAGGAATATTTGATTCACCCACCAAATCAACCGTGGGTACCGCAACATAACGGGTGTACCAGCCTTGATCTTTATCATCTTCAGGGCTTGCCAAAACCCTTTTACTTCTTGCAGTTAGGGTAAAAACACCATTGCGGAACAGCTTGGGGTGGTAAAGATGAATTAGATGAGAGAAGGTAAAATCAACATCAGCCTTTACCGATACATACCTTAAACAAGCTACTGCTCTCCATACGAGAGGGCCAACTTGAGCCAAACAAATTTTGAGAAAACGACAAAAATCGAGTATGACTGAGTCAATAGCAGGAATAAATCCCAAAGTAAAGGGATAAGTATAAACAGAGGAAAAACCAATCCTATAAGAAGATATTCTCTAGTATGGGTTAGGAATAACTATATGAAGGTCATCTCTCCAACGACAATCCTTTCGAACAGTGGAAATTAAGGGTTTAGTAATTAAAGAAGGATAGGTGTCAGCTCTCTCTAACTTAATTACTTGGTCACAAAGGGATTCTTTATCATGCTCGAAAGATAAGTCGGTTGGCACTATTTCTTCGACCAAAGGTTCTTGAATAGACTCAGAAGATTCTTTTCCTTTAGAAGAAGATCTATTAGTGAAAAAACCTCTAGAAATAGTGCCAGAGCTAGAAGAAGGAGTGATGGAACCAGAGGTACCACCACGAATGGATCCTAGGCCACGAAGCCTACCTCCTCTACCTCTTCTGTGTCTCATAGGGGCATTGGGGAAACTGTCAAGAATTGGGACTCTCCTAGGGTTGGGATTCGAAGATGACATGGTAGAAAGATGTGAACAGAGAAAGATGTGAACAAAGGAAGAAGTGAATAGGAGTAAATAGTGAAATATTTGGTAAAAATTTGTGGAAGAAGGGTTAAGTTTATATATAAAAGCAACCGTCAAAGACTAAGAAGTGTAATGATGGAAAGCCTATAATTAGGGGTGTACATGGACCGGGTTGGTTCGGATTTTATCAAAATCAAACCAAACCAACTATATCGGTTTGGATTGGTTCGGTTTTGTCGGGTTTTTCGGGTTTTTGGATTTTTTTGTTACATGAATATTATTTCAATCTTACTTTGTTAAAATTATAGATAAAGCTTTGATAAGTGAATATATGTTTAGTAAATATGGAAAAAAATTGACAAACATATGATCTATTAAAATATTTTTATGGGAGAATTTTTTTAGTAACACATGATAGTTATTTTCTTAGTCGTCTAACAATAATTTTTCGTTAATTTACGCTTTCAAGGTTAATACATGAGAGGATTCCAAATATTTCAACATTTTCTAAAGAAAATTCACTATAAAGTCTTAAAAATATAAATAAAATTTATATATTTATATGTCGGTTTGGTTCGGATTTTTTTACTCAATACCAAACCAGGTCAAACCAAACCTAGTCGGGTTTTTTAATCGGTTTGGTTTGGTTTTTCGGTTTGGTGCGGTTTTCCGGTTCGGTTTGAACACCCCTACCTATAATAAAGGCAACTATCACTTCGTGAATAGTGGAGTTGAAGAAGCCTTGAAAAAAGGCTGCAGAATTGCAGAGCTAATGAGAAGGTGACACGTATGCAATGCATTAAATAGAAAAGACAACTGAAGCGTTAGTACTGTCATAGCATTGATTATGGCAAAAATTCCCTTTTCAATGAAGATCCACTTCCCAAATATTTAATTGATAAATAAATGGAAAGTGGAGGGACTATCTGTATTGGGAAAAAACTGAATTTAAATATTGAAGATGACGTGTCATGACACGTGGACCGGTCAAATAGTCAAAGCGTGGTAATCAGTTAGAAGGCACGAGCAACAACAGATGCGGGAGAGAAGATACTTAAAGGCACGAGCTATTATTCAAATGAAATGAGACTCGTACCTGTTCGAGTCATTTAAAGCTCGAAGATCAGAAGGAATTGAAGACATGAATCTGATAGCGTAAAAGAGTCCAAATTCAGCATTAAATGCCAAATACGTTAGAGAATTTGTATTTAATAGGAATGATTGAGTAACGTTTCTTTTAATGTCATTTATTGCTCGTAATTGCCTCATTAAGACAAAGGCATTACACTTTCTCTTAGAATTAACTATAAAAGGAGAAGGTCTCAACATCTGTAGGAGATACGAAATATCATTGCGATTATACTGAAATATATACTTAGTCATTGCTTTATTGTTGTTCTCAAAGTCTCTCATTTTTTGATTATCAATAACCCGATTTCTCTCTTAAATTCTAGCTTTAACCAAATATTCAGTTTTTTGGTTAAACACCTTCTCTTGCAAAATTATGAAACAGTGGAGTAATACAGTTTAAGGCGCAATAGAGTAGCATTAGCTATCGATTGTTTCATGACAATCAATAGAATTTCTCACATTCGAGTTCCATGCTTGGTACTAGTTTTAAAAGTAAGATTTTCAGAGTTTATTTTGATTAAGAAATATTCAAGTTCTTCCAATAGGAATAATATACATAAGAATCCAGTTTCGTCATTATTATTCTATACTATCTATAAATATTATTGTAACTAATCTAGGTTGTTATTATAAACCACGAATTCCAAAGTAAAATGTTGATCGACTGAAATAAAGCTCCAAAATTTTAATAGGTGAAAAATATATGTGATGTGTTAATGGAATAACATACGGACGAAGAGGCTTATTATTTTCAACGAAACCAAAGGAAAACGTTACGAGTAAAACATCTATATAGTTCAAGGTCGTCATTCTTTCTAGAACATCAAATTGTTTAGCCAATTAAAGTTTAAAGGCTGCCATTAAGACATTATATAGTATCCCGCACTTAATTCATTGGATTTAAGAATGGTATGCTAGTTGAGATTAAGATTCTCACATTGAATTGGAATCAACGTTATCCCACAATCTTATACGAAACATAATTGGTCATGGGACAGAAGGAGGTAAGAGACATTGATCGCTTCAACTTATCCTCTATATGAAAAGGCACGAAAACTGACCATAAATGAAGAAAAGGGGGAAAAAAGCAACGAATAGAAACCCGCGATCGAGCTAAAGGAACTTTTTCCTTTTAATATCGAGATCTTAATGCCCCACTCTTCATGAAGTAAAAAACGACAAATTAAGAACTCATTAACCGGTCTTTCTAGTCCCCCGACGCGTATCTATCTAATCTCGTCCCTGAATTTTTGGTGGATGATGATGCTTCACCCCGAGAACTATGGTTTGAAATACACATCTTTCATTATGTAAGAATAAATCTGAATTCACACAAAAGTTCTCTTTGAACTAATTAAACTTACCTTTTCTGAGTTTTGTGTTTCCAGCTCATTTACCCTGGACAAGTTCTTTCTTTATAATGATTCAGTGGCATTGGTCAAGGCTTATGCTACAATGACCTTTCCCCTGAAAATTTTCAATTTCTTGGCCAAATGTAGCATAGAAGAGTTAAAAGCACTTCATTTCATCTTATAAGGCATATCACAAGGTATGGTTGGTAATCGTGACCATCCAGAATCATTAATAGCTCAAGAACGTTGAGATTGATGTGCGATATAAGAACATCTTATGCAAATGATTAGTTGCTTATGAAAGACGACTTCGAGATACCAAAACAACAGAGAACGAGAAGACGGACCTCATGGACCTCAGCATACTGAGATTTCTGCTCGAAAAGGACTTCCCTAGTTATCTTTTCCTCTTGAGCCTCTGAAAGTTGGGCTTTATAGGCTGGCTCGAAACAATGGCCTTAGCATCAGTAATGCCACGTCCAAAGGGGATCAGAGGCTTCTTAACTGGAGAGCTTGACACTGTAGGGGAAGCTGCTTTTCTTTGCAGCTGCTTCGGTACCTCCAGCCTTTCAAGGATTCGTGAAGTTTTGTCATCAAGTTTTCCAGTAGTTTTAGGGGGAGATGAAACCTCTTTATCCAACTTTGGCTTGGAGATACAAGTGGGAGAAGACATCTTTGGAATCTCTAATACAACTAGCTGTTCCCATTCTTCAGTAATTCTGGTACCGATTTTACCATCAGTCGTTTTGGTATTCAGCACGTTGTCTCCTATAACCAACAAATTGTTGGCTTGATCTGCTAAGTCCTCTATCATAGGGTCTTGCAGGGCTATGTTTGTTGCTGTCACCGGTTCTTTAGCCTTAGCAGGTATTGCCCTGATAGTCAAACTTTTAAGATGAAAGTCCACGCAAGCCAAGAAAATATTGAAAATAAGTAATTAAACTCAATGCCTATATAAAGCTGATTTACACGTGATCGGCACGGATGGTGATTAGCAGATCAGACAGCTTTGGCTAAAGCCAAAGCTCGGAAGCTAATTTTTTCCAGAGTTGAGAACTAATGAAATTTGTTGTGGATCTCATTAAAGAAAATTGCTCCTGATCGAAGTAGATGATTCCTTCCATCACCTAACAAAATCAACTGTAAAACAGCATAGATTCTTCACCAAAAATTAGAATGTGCTATGGTTAACCCTGATCAGGAGTGTTAAAAATATGCTTTAGAAGCTGCTCTCAGTAAAATTATTTTACTGTTTCAGCTATTTACTGCAATAATTTAGTTTGAATTTGAAATAATTTTGAACTAGTCTTTAGGAGTGAACTAGTCTCTAGGAGTTTGTTATTTTCAGCAGATTTTGTGCTGGTTTTTAGGTCTTTTAAGTTAGTATTTTCAGCTTCAGTTCTTTTTACATCTATTCCAGTATATTTTTTATTATCTTGTCATATTCTCAGTTATTTCCCTTAATTTCTTTTATCAAGAACCAACAATTGCTATCAAGAGCCATCTTCTTAAGGGACCTAAGTAAAATCTTTTCTTGAGTGAGATGGAGACTGAAATGAGTTTTTCTCAATTGGCTCCTCCAGTCTTTGATGGTAAAAATTACCAACTGTGGGCAGTGAGAATGGAGACTTACTTGGAGGCTTTAGATCTTTGGGAGGCCGTGGAAGAGGATTATGATGTTCTTCTGCCTAACGATCCCGCGGTGGCCCAGATCAAGAGCCACAAGGAAAAGAAAACCAGGAAATCAAAGGCGAAAGCAACTTTGTTTGCTGGTGTGTCTGCAACAATTTTCACGAGAGTTATGGCTCTCAAATCAGCAAAAGAAATCTGGGATTATCTGAAGTAGAATATACAGGAGATGAAAGAATACGAGGCATGAAGGTGTTGAATTTAATAAGGGAATTCGAGTTGCAGAAAATGAAGGAATCTGAGACTGTCAAAGAATACTCACATCGGTTGCTTGGCATTGTTAACAAGGTAAGATTGCTTGGTACTAAATTTAAAGATTCAAGAATTGTTGAAAAAATTCTTGTTACGGTGCCTGAAAAATATGAAGTATCCATAACTACCTTGGAAAATACAAAGGATCTATCTAAGATTACCTTGGCAGAATTGTTAAATACATTGCAGGCACAAGAGCAAAGGAGGCTTATGAGGCAAGATGGTATGGTTGAAGGAGCCCTGGCAGCCAACCACAAAACTCAAAGCAAGGGTAATGATGATAGGCTATAATTACGTATTTTAGTCGCTTATTACACTCTAATTTACTGCACTTTAGTTGAGTTTGCGCTTTAATCGCTAGTGTTTTGCACTAATTGTGCGTTTTATGCCTTGTAGGTGTAATTCCGAGCTATATAGATGTTATGGAATGAATTTAAGTGATTTGAATATTTGAAGTCTGAGTAAAAGCTCAAGAAATTAAGCCGAGAGGGGTCAAATTTGATAGTTGAGAACAAACGAAGACTCGAGTAGGCATATTGCGCACTGTCTAGTAAAATGCACATAACTTTTTGTTTAGAACTCCATTTGGGCTCCACAATATATGGTTGAAAGTTAACTCAAAAGGCTACAACTTTCATGTTTTACGTTTTTCCAAATTCCAAACGGAACAGGGTGAAAAACGCGGTCGAAACCGCGACCGCGGCAGAAAATCAGAGAGCTTGTCTCGCCGCGGTCCTACCGCGTTTTGGCCGCGGCCGCGCCACTCCAGGCGTCAAAAAGAAGTCCTATTTCGTCCGGTACAAGGTTATTTCGGCCCTACACTATTCCAACTTGTATAAAAGGGGTCCTAAACCTATTTTGAAGGGAGGGGGACATACTTTTGACATAATTGAGACCTAAGGAGGCTAAGGAGACCGGAGATTCGACCTAAAGAGTCAAGAACACAATAGGAGCAAGACGCGGAATTCTTCAACGAGTTTTTCCTTCTTCTTCCTATTTTTTCATTGTTGGTTATGATTTTTAGTATTGTAGTTTTACATACTATTATGAATAGCTAATTCGTTTTCTAGGGTTCTGATGGAACCTTTTGGGGATGAATTGGTTGTTATATTAATATAGTTTTGAGTTAGTTGTTAATCTCTATTTGTTCAACTACGTTTTGATTTTGGTTAATTGAAAGGATCCTCAATTAGCCGTTCCTATTTATTATGTATCTACTTGAGAGAGAGTGCATATTTAGGTAGTTGTTTGAACAACATCACTCCCGGAGTATAGGCGAGAGTCATAACCGAGGGTTTAGATGTTGGATTAGAGATAACGATACCTCGGGTGCGATCTAAGTGAACTGTAATGTGAATATAGCTAGTGTAGCTTGAGAGAGTGCGTCTAGTAAATTATCATAATTGCTTGAGAGAGATTTATGATAGCTGGAGAGTTCATGATTGATAGAGGCAACTAAGTCAAAGCTATAAGAAACATACAACTAATGAAATCAACAATTGGGGAAATCATAACTCTAGACCTCCTTAATTTAGTCTCCAAACCTTTGTCTCGTTAGTTGATAATTTTACCGTTTTATAGTATTTGTTGGTTGATTAGTTAGATATAAAAATCTTAATATTATAATTTAGAAATTGTTCAAATTTGTCTTCTTTGCGATATTGAACAATTACAGCGAAACCTTAGTTCTCTGTGGGATTCGACTACGGACTTTTAGACCGGATTATATTTGCAGCGACCGCTTATCCTTTTTAGGACTAGAGTTGGGCGTGATCAGGTAATAATGTTAAAAAAAATTACCCGCCTTGTCAGCACTGTGGCAAAAAAGGTCATCCACCATTCAAATGTTGGAAGAGGCCATATGCAAAGTGCAAAATTTGCAACCAACTTGGTCATGAAGCTGTAATTTGCAAAGGCAAATATCAAAAGCATGAAGCAGATGCCCAAGTCGCCAATGAAGAAGAAGAAGATCACTTGTTTATGGCAACTATTCTTTCAACTAAAAAATCTGATTTTTGGTTGATTGATAATGGCTGTACAAACCACATGACATATGACAGAAATCTTTTCAAAGAGTTCACGTCTATGGGAAATAAGAAAGTCAGAATTGGAAATGGTGATTATATTCTTGCTAAGGGAAAAGGAACTGTTGCAATCCCAACAAAGTCAGGTACTAGGAAAATTTCAGATGTTCTTTATGTTCCTGATATTGATCAAAATTTATTAAGTGTTGGACAACTAATGGAAAAAGGATTTAAAGTATCCTTTGAAGATAAATATTGTTTCATTTATGATGCAACTAGACTTGAGATTTTAAGGGTTAAAATGAGAGGTAAAAACTTCTCATTTGATCCAACCGAAGATGAAAAATGGAGCCCAAAGAATCTACCAAGTGCAGATAAACCTCCAAAAGAGGACATATGTGAAAATGAGACAAAGAAGTTGTCAATATTTCAGAAAAACAAAATTTGGAAGAAAGTTGACAAGCCTCAAGGCAAAATGCAAATGTGGAAGAAAGTTGACAAGCCTCACGTCAAAATGAAGCCCAAAAAAGAGCCAACTTATTTCATTGACAATCATGAGATGCAGCAAAATAGAAAATTGAACTCAATTTACTGCAAGTCCAAAGATCAGTTGGCAGATTTACATACAAAGTCACTTCCAGTTAAAGGTTTACAGGGGAAAAATTCAGAATTTGCAGCTTCAAAAGCAAGGAGGAGTGTTAGAAATATGCTTTAGAAGCTGCTCTCAGTAAAATTATTTTACTGTTTCAGCTATTTACTGCAATAATTTAGTTTGAATTTGAAATAATTTTGAACTAGTCTTTAGGAGTGAACTAGTCTCTAGGAGTTTGTTATTTTCAGCAGATTTTGTGCTGATTTTTAGGTCTTTTAAGTTAGTATTTTTAGCTTCAATTCTTTTTACATCTATTCCAGTATATTTTTTATTATCTTGTCATATTCCCAGTTATTTCCCTTAATTTCTTTTATCAAGAACCAACGAGGAGCATGGAACAAAGGTAAAGAAGTGCTTGAGAAGACACCAATTGAACCAACTAGCTATATTGATCCCCTATAAATAACTAAGAAAGGAAACAAGTTCCTAAAACATTTATATTAGCCGGTGGCACTTAAATGGACACTATGGAGTAATCAACAATACACATCAGCAACTTAGTGCGGTTTTCAGACCACCAGAAAAACTTTCACGTCAACTATTGACAGAAAATGAAAAGGGATGAACTTCAAGAAAAAACCAATCCATAGGTCATATGGCTGACCAGTGACCGGTGAAATATATTTTTATAGCAGATAAAGAAAAACACCACAGGAGAGAAAAGAAGTTACCCAAATTGTAGGCTTTCTTTGACAAGCAAGTTTAGTCTTTGATGGAAGCCTCTATCGTGCTGAACTGGATCATAATTTCTTAATTCGATCTGGAATAACAAAGAGCATCAGAACTTAATCTGGAGAAGTACCAAAAATGACCTTCCTCTATGCACCAAGGAAGAACACTCAGCCTTTTCTTTATACCTTGCAAAGTGCAAACAGTTTAGAGATAAAGCTACATTATCATTAATGATGAGAATGTGAAACTGCAAATCCTTGAGAAAGATAAATTAAGATCCAGCTTATAGAGCTTCATGAATTTATTAATGAATGCTGGTTCATCTTTCATCTCATTAATGCATCTAATTTGGTATTGCTCCCAGTAAGAAACGAAGATGTATCGGACGAATCAAATAAACAGGAATAGAATTTCCCTAATGAAACAGACCTTAAGCAAAGAGGCCTGCAAAGAATTTTTAATATCCTCGGTGACTGGGGTGCAAGCGATATTACTGATGTCAGGGACAGGCAAGGCTTCCTCTGATCCAGCAAGCCGCTGAAAATACTTATACAGTGACATCACATAATAAAGAGTAGAAAAATTATTGTAGTATAACTGGATGCATTAAAACAAGAATAGTCGAGGGATTGTTGGAAGAAAGAAATATCTTCACTGCCGGTTATAGTTTGTTGACAGATTGGACTTTAGGGCCAAAAGGAAAACATAAAAACATTAAAGGAAAGAAACAACAACAATAATAATAGCTTATTTCACGATCTCGTTGGTGGCATATTCTAGTCTAGACCTACAAGGGATTCTGTCGCATGAAATTTTTTAAGAAAATGAGAAGGAAATAAAGCACTAATTTTTTATCAAAATGAAGAGAGATAGATGTAGTTGACTTCTTTTTAGTAGGAAAATAAAGGCTCAGATGTGAGAGGGACTACATACTTACTCTGAGAATCATTACTCCTTTCTCTGAAGGTAAAAGAATATAATAGCACAGGAAGGACGTTTGCTTCGCAGTTTCTACATTACATTTTGATGAACAAATCAAACCCTGGTCAAGGGAATGCAGTACACCACACAGCACTTGAAAAACTGCCAAATCACAGAGCCAGATCATCATCTATCCATGAAAAGTATTCTCAGTTTAATTTCAGCAACTATTTGAACATTTTATAAGTTGGGCAAGGTTATGCAGTATATAGTATGGAAAGGCATGGCAGCAATGAATAATGGTAGGCCTTCCGCTTACGTTTAGCATTTAGCTCTGATTTATCAGTATCATCAAACTCAGGCAAAGCTGGGGTAACAATGTAGGAAGTACCTAAAATAATCCCTGTTAAGAAACAAAAGCTGATATTGAGTGTAGATCATCAGTCATGAGAAAGAGATAGCAAATGAATGTTTGAATTAGGTGCCAAACTGATGACTCTAGTGCATCATGAGAATTTCCAATTGATGTAATTAGTGTTGTTAGTTAGTTGTTAATGTAAATAAGCATAGTCCTACATGGAATAGGAGTAGTGTAGGTATTGTGTATTGTTATAAATAGGGGTACTTGTATTATAGTTAAGGTACATCAATAATATAATTTTCCGAGTTATTAGTTCTCACAAGTGCAATTCTCACAAGTGCAAAGAGAGGGCATCGGAATAAGTTTTGTCTTTGTTAGGACTTTGATTTCTCATAGCTAATATATTTTCAACTGGAACCAGACATTAACAATAGAATGCAAAATTTAACACAGAATGCTTTTTATTTTCATCCAAACTTACCTTCATCAAGTGATCTCAAGTTAGTTCTTTCAATAACATCGAAGTTAATTGGTAAAGGAACTTTCTGAAGGTCCCGGCAACACTGGAAAGAGGGCATATAGAGGATTGTATGTTCTCCTATCTTCACAGAGCTCTCAACCAAATCAAGTGCTCCAAGCTCAACTCCAGTTACTGGACAAGAAGACTTATCCGTCCGGATCATTTTTGAGTTGTCAAATGGAATGCCATGACACCTGCATGACTGTTAAAGGAGTGACAATTCTAAGAAACTTCACGTGAGACTTGCTGCTCACTACAAGAAAATAAAAGATGTATACTCTTGGACACCCAGGGGGAATAAAAATGGTTTACTGATGCAATTAATGGTAGGGATATCAATAACATTCACCGTAAAACTAGCTTATAACAGTTCACGAAGATGTGTACTTTATGGCAACCAAATGAACTGAATTCGTTTATCAACATATGCTCGTCTGGTCATGATTTCTGACAGCTTGAGAGGCACCAAGCAATCATTATGTCTAGTTTCGTAAGATAAAATATGCCTTCTAAGAGAAGCGTTCTCTAGAAAGAAAAAATTCAGCAATATCTCCTATTCCAAACTAGTTCTCAGCTGCAATACCCATAATACAGTATTGGCAAGGGGCCAAAATAATTCTGATTGACAACTTTTGAACTTCCTGATGAACAAAGTGGATAATCTAACAGTGCATTTTTCCAATATAGTATCTTTGGCACATATTTGAAATTTTACATGGGCCTGTTAGGATAGACATTTGAATTTTAAAGGGATTTCTGATCCTTGAAGTTAATCCAAAATAACGACAGAAATGAACTGATAAACTGATTTTGTTTTTCAAATCTAAGTAGGCATATCAAAACAAGTGCAAATGAATCAACTGTTTAGCTTTAGAATTTGAAATGCCTTAGACAAATCTCTACACTTAAACAGGCTTGGGAACTTAACAATCCTTCAGACTAAAAAATTTAAAAGAATTCTGGCATTTATGGGAAGGACTCAACATAAAGAAAATAGTTGTTATAATGGTAGCAATTTGTTATTACAGAGGAATAAAGAAAGAACATGTTTCTAGAGATGAGGATGGATCATCGAATAGGAAGACTAAATGAGCATCATATCAAACACAGAGGACTGTAGTTGATGGTACTTACTTTTTAATAATTCTGTCTCCTTTCCAGGTTTAACCAAATAATCCGTTGCATATTCTATCTTTCTTTAATGGATTTTAATATTTTTGCCATTTTAAAAACTAACATTGAGAAGTTAAACGTAAACTCTGAAGTCAGTTAATATTTCCTATAGGACAAGAACGTAAGATCTATATGAGGTTTCAACACTAATGTTCTAGCATAAAAAAACCAGCTACTTTTCTGTTACCTAGTTGATTAAATTGCAAAAGCAAGAATAAAGACTTCAATGGTTTGTAAGGTTTTATGAGACTTCCCACTCAAATCCGTGATTAGAAAAAAGATATGAAAACTAAAGGGAACACCATAATTAGTAGTATTACTTTGACGCACTACTTGACAAGCACAAGGGCTATTTGTCAATCAAAGATTTACTACTAGAGATTGGTCTCAAGAAACTAATATGGGAGTGAAACTATACTAATAAAAGGTAAATCATCAGGCAAAATTGTACAATTACTCAGAATTTTTGATAATATCTCATGGTTAAAATCATAGAATCTAAAATATCACCTGTTTTTTAACCCTCATCAGGCCATCACATGACAAACAAGTAGTTTAAATACATCATTGAAACAAATCCAAAACTTGAAGGCCAATTACCAATCAGTTAAAGAATGTAACTTAGCAGTAGGAAGAACCCTAACCAGTGAGAAAGATACAATGATTTTACTAAAGAACCTATAACTGATAATTCTTACCGTCCAGCTCATCAATACTTTCATTTTCAAAACAAGAAGTTACTTTTAGGACCTATCTAGAATAAATCAATTGTTTTGCATGGTATACTAATGAACTTTATGAGTATACCTTACAAGGAACGAATTCATCGATTATCTGGTTGAAAGATGTGCACAAGTTGCAGGATATCTGGTTTGTTGAACCTAAAAGATTGCTCTTGAAGACAAAACGAGCCTGTAATTGTTCTTCCAAGTCCTCCTTCAGTTCCTGAAACCATTTCTTTACCAAGCCAGACAAAGCATGTGCATCTGCAGATCTATTTGTTGTAAATAACAAGAAGAGAAAACTTGATTCTTCCTAGGAATTATACAAAGATGTTAGGGGCCAACAAGGGCCAACAAGTGTACTCATCATTGAACAAAATTAAGGACATTTAACCTTTATGATTCAATTTTTTTTAAAACAAGTCAAGGACATTTGTCCTTTCTATCCCTCAACAGAAAATTTAACCTCTTTGAATACTCAAGGATGCAAAGAACCACACATGGAGAAGGAGAACTTGTCACAGATTCGTTTTGAACTACATGCTACAACCAGGAAGAACAAAATTGGCATTTCTAAAATCTAATATCTGGAAGCTCACTTCCTACAGACTGAAAGGATTTTTAAACAAAATGATCTCTACGGTAACTCAGGAAACAGAGTTGATTCTAAGAATCTGTTATATAAACCAATAAAGATAGGCCTTGCTCAACTAGACAATTTATTACGTTTACCCTCGACAAGATCAAAATGAATTAAATCTTAAAATGAAAATCACGGTGAACAAATAGGTTTTAAGTATCATTCTAAGGACTCCTACACAGAAGGATTAAGGAGTGTCTCTAACCTGGAATATAGTTTTGAAATGAGCAGTTCTCGAGATCACCAATCTGCTTCAAGAATTTGTTAATACTTCCAGGAGTATCAGCAAGATGACTTGAATTTTGCTCCAAGAAAATAAACTCTATGGAAACACAGTTATCTGCTGCATCCTGTCAGCAAAACCACCACTTTTTTCAACTTGAAGCTTGCAGTTCAAAAGGTTTAGAAATCGAACAATTAAGACATCTAATCATCAGTCCAAAATCTGAAGAATAAAGTAGAACAGATAATGATATGAATGCAGAGAGTAGATGAATCACCATGAGAGCCTTTTTGGTAGCAGAGTCCAGGCTTTCATATATGCAGGAACTAATCAAAATCACCTTTCTCGTAATATCTTTATTATGACCTCCCCATGAGTACAAAACTTTGTCATTTAGGATACTGCAAAGTTTCAAATCTGCAAGCGCCAAATGGTGACCACACCAATGGTAACAAGAGTGATCAAATCAAATTAAGCATAAGCATGAAGCAGAAAAACAACTTGAATGCATTTAAATTTTTTGAAATCAATAAAAATTCACGTAAATAATTACCGCTGCAACATAGAGCTCCAGAACTGTTGAAATCAGGTAAAAAGGCATCGGAAGGCAAATTGTTCACAGCATGGTGGAAATCGCGGAGATTGAAGTTGCCTCGTGGACTATAAGCTATCTTAAGCTGTGTATAACATCACTTATCAGTTCAGGAGTATTATTAAAAGTGTACCAGGTAAACACAGCAGTAATACGCCTTTCAGTCTATAAATGAATATACGGACCTAAGCATTTAAATATTCGAGCTAAAAATAGAGAAGAGATATTATATTTACTTCATCGGTGCGTGAGATTCGATTTTTGAATACATAGCACAGTCCGATGCGATCGAGCAGAGGTTTTGATCTCGAACTGTCAATACTACTACTTGGAGACGATATCGCGTAAAAATTTGCGAGCTGCAACATCGACTGGCAGAGAAGAGAATATCGGTCAAATTTTTTACTTTAAATATGCGAATTCAAGTGAAATTCGAAGAGTAAGGAAAAAAGACAACGCAATGCTTTTCACCAGCAAATCATTCAACAGGTTCAATTGCTGTATATAATTGTTCATGAGTAAATGCATGTGGATATATCACCTGCTTCAAATCGCGAAGCAATGGAGCTGATAAGATCCGCAGATCCAATACGAAGCAAAGCATCACCATTTTCTGGATCTCTCTCTCCCTGTCACGCTAAGTGCTCTTCCCTCCCGCTCTCGCTTATAAACTAATTTTGGCGCCTTCTATCACGCCATTCGACCTGGGTCTGGGTTTTGACGTTGCAGTTCCTTAAATAATAAAATGACTGGATCTTTTTTATAAAGTTGTTTTTTTTTCTTCAAATCTTTTGAATAAGCTCCAAGTGATCAAAATAGTGCCTTTTAGACGAGAAACGGTTTAATATTTGTTTAGGGTCGGTTAGAAAAGTCACCATGGAATTGGTGTAATTGTAACAGTTGTACCTGTTTGTTTGTCATAGTGTAATTACAAGTTTACTGTTTGGTTGCACAAGTGTAATTATACAGTTAGAATAAATTTTAAATGAAGTAATTATCAAAACTTAAAAGTTAATATGATAAATATATGCCTATAAAGTTTTATAAGTATAAATGATATTATATTTGGTATTTAAGATGTGTATATTTTCGTGAATATACATTAATTACTATTCATATATTTATAACTAATATTGTAAAAATAAATTATATATATATATATATATATATATATATATATATATATATATGTATATATATTTAAGTTAATAGTAATATTTAGTTTAGATTAAACCAAAAAATATACGTTCTGTAAGAACATCATGGAATTCAAGTTTGATAAAATAAAATAATATTTATAAATATAATGTCAGAACATTGTTCGATGTTTGACAAAACTAATCTATCAATTCTAACTAAAAAATAAACAGCATGCAATGTGAGTCAATACTATTAAAATAAGTAAATTGGAACCATGAATATAACATAATTTCAAAATTAAAAAAAAATAGTTCAACATATGTCAAATTCCAACATAATAATAAGTTCCACTACAACTTAAGATTAGGAAACATAATAAGTTTATAATCACATTCAACAACGAAATTTCACTTTAATTGTATCACTCATTATATGCAAAGTTTGTTAATGACTCATTATTTCTAATATTAGGAGGTGCAGTTTAAAAAAATAGAATAATAAAATAAATAAAAATAATATATAAACAGTTACATGGAATCACAAGAAGTAAAGGTAGAGAATTAAAGATAAATAATATAAAAATAAAAATATATTTTAAAATTTCAACAACAACAACATACCTAGTAAAATCCCACTAGTGGGGTCCGGGGAGAGTAGAGTTTACGCAGACCTTACCCCTGCCCCGAAAAGGGCAGAGAGGTTGTTTCCAGGAAACTCTCGGCTCAACAGGAAAGGCAATAATATCAGAAAAAAAATAAGAGTAAAGACATGTAACAATAAAAGATACCAGAAAGAAAATAACCACAACAAATAAGTGAAAGGACAATAACACAAAACTATGCAAAACACCAATGTGGATACAACAAAGACCGCTAACAAACCTAACGAAATTCTAACAGACTACCCGGTACAAAGTGGGAAGAACTCACGACTACCCCCTAGCCTACCACCCTAATGCTCGACCTCCACATGTTCCTATCAAGAGTCATATCCTCGGAAATCTGAAGTCGCGCCATGTCCTGCCTGATCACCTCGCCCCAATACTTCCTAGGCCGCCCCTACCTCTTCTCGTACCTGCCAAAGTCAACCGCTCACACCTCCTAACCGGTGCATCTAGGCTTCTCCTCCACACGTGTCCGAACCATCTAAGCCGCGCTTCCCGCATCTTATCGTCCACGGGAGCCACGCCCACCCTCTCCCGAATATCTTCATTCCGAATCTTATCCAGCCTAGTGTGTCCACACATCCATCTCAACATCCTCCTCATTTCTGCTACTTTCATCTTCTGGATATGTGAATTCTTGACTGGCCAACACTCAGCTCCATACAACATGGCCGGTCTAACCACCGCTTTATAGAACTTACCTTTGAGTTTCGGTGGCACATTCTTGTCACACAGGACTCCAGACGCTAACCTCCATTTCATCCACCCCACTCCTATACAGTGCGTAACATCCCCATCGATCTCCCCATCTCCCTAGATAATTGACCCTAAGCTAACTTCCACATCCGCTTCCCCCGTCACGTTGCTGAACTTACATTCTACATATTCTCTCTTAGTCCTACTCAACTTGAAACCTTTAGACTCTAGAGTCTGCCTCTATACCTCCAGTCTCCCATTAATGCCGCCTCGCGTCTCATCAATCAGAACTATATCATCAGCGAACAACATACACCATGGCACCTCTCCTTGGATATGGTGTGTCAATGCGTCCATCGCCAGAGCAAATAAGAACGGGCCGAGCGCAGATCCTTGGTGTAATCCCATAACCACCGGAAAAGGCTCTGAATCACCTCCCACAGTCCTAACCCGAGTCATAGCTCCATCATACATATCCTTTATCGCCCTAATGTAAGCCACCGGCACACCTTTCACCTCCGGACACCTCCAAAAGACGTCCCTAGGGACCTTGTCATATGCCTTCTCTAGGTCAATAAACACCATATGCAAATCCCTCTTCCTATCCCTGTATAGTTCCACCAACCTCCTGATAAGGTGGATAGCTTCCGTAGTAGAACGGCCCGGCATGAACCCGAACTGGTTTTCCGATATAGACCCCGCCCTCCTTATCCTCATTTCCACCACCCTCTCCCAGACTTTCATGGTATGACTTAGTAACTTGATACCCCTATAGTTGTTACAATTCTGGATATCCCCTTTGTTCTTGTACACCGGAACCATTGTACTCTACCGCCACTCATCAGTCATCCTCTTTGTCTTGAAGATATTTGTCTTGAAGATAACATTAAACAGCTCAGTCAGCCACTCCAAGCCTGCCCTACCCGCATATCTCCAAAACTCTACTGGAATCTCATCAGGTCCAGTCGCTTTGCCCCGAGTCATCTTACCCATCGCACCCACGACCTCCTCAACCTTAATGCGCCTACAATACCTAAAGTCTCGGTGACTCTCGGAGTGCCCCAATTGCCCTAACACGATGTTTCCATCCCCCTCTTCATTCAGAAGTTTATGAAAGTACGACTGCCATCTTTGCCTAATTTGGGCCTCTTCCATTAATACTCGATCGTCCTCGTCTTTGATACACCTCACTTGATCCAGATCGCGAGCCTTCTTCTCTCTCACTTTGGCCAATCGAAATAACTTCTTATCCCCACCTTTACCCCCCAGTTCCTCATAGAGCCTACCAAAAGCAGCAGTCTTAGCCTTTGTGACCGCTACTTTCGCCTCCTTCCTAGCCTCCTTATATCTTTCTCTGTTCGCTCTCCTTTGATCCTCGTCGGTGCTCTCTACTAACTTAATGTACGCCGCTTTCTTGGCTTTCACTTTACCTTGGACCACGTTATTCCACCACCAGTCGCCTTGGTGCCCGCCACAATATCCTTTCGAAACTCCCAACACCTCTCTTGCTGCCTCCCTTATACAATCCGCCGTCGCCGTCCACATAGCGCTAGCGTCCCCACCACTCTTCCAGGCACCCATATTTGTCAGCTGCCCCTCCAACTCTTGCGCATTATCCTTAGACAAAGCTCCCCACCTGATCCTCGACGGACCCCGTACAAACCTCTTCTTCCTCTTCATCAAAATACCGACGTCCATCACTAGGAGCCTATGTTGAGTTGCGAGGTTCTCACTCGGGATCACCTTGCAATCCTCGCACAACCCCCTATCACACCTCCTGAGGAGGAGATAGTCAATTTGAGTCTTAGCCACCATACTCCGGAAAGTAACCAAATGTTCCTCCCTCTTCGGAAACATAGAGTTCACGATCACCAACTCAAAAGCTCTAGCAAAATCCAACAGTTACACCCCTCCAATTACATCCAATTCCATGTTGACCAAGTAATTACTTGACCAAACAAACCTGTCAAACTGTATAACTACACCTAATTATATCCAAATTCATTTCCAAGGTGGCTTTCCAAACAAGCTCTTAGTTATAGTAACTTTGCTTCAAATTCGCCCTCCTTACTTGCACAATTACACCAAACAATTGAATATAGGACATGTGTTTTTCGTACTCACACATGGCTAAGTGTTATGTATTTTTATTTTAATTTTTAATTGTTAAGGTTAAATTATTTGATTTTAAATGGTCAGAGAATTGATTTTAAGTTTTTTCCTTTTGGGATAATTGGTTTTGGGTTCGTCTTTCGAAAAGTCCAAAAGAATCAGTAAAGACAAAATTATTGTTATGGCTTTAAATAAATTTTAATACATTAAAATCCACTAAATATACCCAGATGAAACCAATATGTGTTGCAACCATGAAGGAAGATTTAGAAAAGCTAAGCTATAAAGAGTAAAGTTCTTGTCATAATCATGTCCACTCATTTAGTCGAAGGATAAATCAATCAAATAGGCTTCAGCAAATATACAAATATGAGTTTGAAAAATAAAGCATTATTAAAAGTAAGTTAAATAGAGTATCAAATTTGAAAGAAAAGTTTATTTATGATCCGGGGTCCAGTACAGATTATATATACTGGGGTCATAGCAATGCTAGAATAGAATTTCCTACAAAAAGGGTGCAATTTGCAACATAATTTTAAGCTGAATTAGTTGACACCGTTATCAGAGCAAATAAAGTTCTGATGATCAGGCTTTGAGGAAACTTCTGTTGTGTGCTCATTTGGAGCAGTAAGAATTTCAGATAGGAACTTTATCAAAGAGCAGAGACCACCCAAGAAGTTATGATCAATGACACCTCTTCCTTCAATAACATGAGCAAAATCAATCAACTTGATTTGTGCACCTGGATTCTGTCCTTCCAATGCAAGTTCTTTTTCAAACATCATCAGAATCGAGCAAGAATAAAAATGGTACATGGTTTGATCCTCAAACCATGCTTTCAACTCTAGCAACTGTGATAAAATGCCAGTAGAACCGCCATATACAGTTGCTGCAAAAGCACAATCTGGTTCAGAGTCTGAGTCAGTCGACGCGTTAGAAGAAACAAACTTTTTCAGGATTAACTTGACTTCCTCTGCAGAAAGGTTTTGAATTGAAGTCCTTTCCGGTTTCCAGTAACCTGATTCTTTATTTCCATAGATTTGTATCCCCGATAACCTGAATCCTAAGGGAAGGCTCGATGTCTCTCTATCTTTTTTCAAGCACTTTTGCATATACTCCTCAGTTGACTGTGGTGCCCAGGTTCTTGAACCGATTTTAATATCCACTATTGATGGATTGACTCGACCTACGACGAGATCATGTAAAACTAAGTGGGACTTCAAGCCAGATCCATCGGACGCCTCTATGAGCTGAGTGCCATAAAAGATAGGGAAGAATTTGGAGATGTGTTCTGGGATCTTAGTGTTGGAAGAGAATGATTCGTAGAATTTAACCTCATTGGACCCTCGTTCATCGCCTTGGAGAGGCTTGTAGAAACGTCCTGATTCATCCACGAGCGGACCAAGCTTCCCATTGCCTGCTTGGTGTCCTGCAACTTGATGCGGAGGGATCTTAAGCATCCTCACAGAAAGTGAAGCACAATAGCGCAATCAAAGTGTCCGATGCAGTAGTCTTTCCTGTGAATTGTAGAATTATGTTACCGTTCATATAAACCTTTCGGGGAAACAAAATAATGCGACCTGACTAAACAGAAAAGGAAATCTTGAGTTCGCTATATTCTTCACTAGCAACAATAGAAAAATTCATGTAGATTGAATTCCATCTACAATTTCAGGTATAGGTGTTTAGAGGATATGAACTATTTGAATTAAATTTCATCACGATTGCCATTAAAATAATGACTGTGTAGACAAAAACATACATGTCCCATTTGAAAAGCCTCCAACTCACAAGTTCCAAACACCAAAACGAGTAAGACCATTCTAGCTTGCCATACATATATACACCTCTTACTTAAGTCTACATCCCTAAAGTACCATTGCAGTGCAGTAATGATTGATCCAGTACAGTTCAGTGGGTGAAAACTTCATTCCTCTACTGGTTGGGCTTGATACTGTTATAGCCAGAAAGAAGAAGGGCCTTACTTTTCTTTTCTTTTTCAGCTGTTGGGGGGGGGGGGGGGGTGGGGGGTTATTATCAGGATGAATGAGCAATCTACAACTCTACGTTATTCCTATAAGTTTAGAGGTCCTAATTCCCCAAGCGTAAACATGTGAATCCAACAACAACAACGACTCAGTGAAATCCGAATTAGTGGGGTTTGGGGAGGGTAGTGTGTACGCTGACCTTACCCCTACCCCAAGGGGGTAGAGAGGCTGTTTCCGAAAGACCCTCGGCCCAAGAAGACGAAAACATGTGAATCCATCTTCTAAATATAATAGAAGGCAGCATTAGTGTTCCATAGGACTGCTTATAGAGCCAAGCTATAGCATGGGCAGATCATTTAATGTGCAATCTCCTAAAAAGCAAAATTAGGAAGCATTTGCCATGCAGGCCAGTTAACAATTTTCACGAGACACGCCAAAGCTAGATGCCATTCAACTCTTTTTACGCAGAAAACATCGCATTTGTGATTGAGAGAAAAAAAACATCAAGCAGATTCCCTCTAATGAATGAGTAGTAAAATGTGCAATATGTTAAATCAAGAGGGGAAAACTTTTCTTGGAACAAATATAACTACAAATTCAAAAGACATTTGCCTAAGCTCTACCATTGTAGCTCTTTTGCTGTCATAAGGAAATGACTCCTCTCCATTTATTGAAGAACTGAGGTTTTCCAATTCATTCATTAACTTCTGTCACATTACACTTTTAGAGTTTGCGCTTATGATTTTAAGCTGGTAACCTACCCTCTCTTAAACTGTCTTCTACACACCCCAAAAAAAAAGAAAAAAAAAAGAGAAGCTTTCCTTTTACATTATTTTAATATGCATTACTATTTTCCCATAATGTTTTTCTGAATTAATATTATCTGTTTTGTTTAACAACATCATATTTCATACATCCCAAAATTTACATATTTATATTAGACATTCTAAGAGGTTAATCAAAAGCAGAATCTTAGGGGTATGTGCATGCTTTTGAGTTCTAGAAAATGTTGGCATCTTACAAGAAAATCTTAATCATACATGGGAGAAAGGTAATGTGAAAAAATTTAGTGGAAGAATTGGAGAAAAATAATATCCTTGTCAAAAAATAGTCATTAAAATAAACCAGATGGCAGATATGTCCCCCATTTCACTAAAATAAAATACGAATCTACATAAAAGGCAACAAAAAGTTTTAACAACACAAATCACAAAGAAACATAAACAATACACCTCTGCTTCCATTTTATAATGGATCACATCTTAATGAAAGATTAAAAAAAACACATTCCACTGAATTCGATTCAATAACAAAACTTTACCCATAAGAAACAATTGAAATTCGAGAGAAAAGCAAATCAGAATTAGAATGAAAACTAAAAGGGACATCGCGTAGGAATTCTAAAATAAGAATAAAAGCAACTTACAGATTTAGAAAATTGGAGCAACAATTCAGTTTTCGTATTTGGTGAGATTCTGCTATTTAATTAGGTATACCAAGGCAATTTATTGTGATGTTATGGCGATGGGCTTTTCCAAAACGTGTCTATCTGAGAGGGACCTTACCTTTTGGGGTCCTCATCACGTGAAATTAGAATCTGTCTGATCCCACATAGTAGCTTTTCTTTTTTTGTCCTTTTTAGAAATTCTGAAGTATTTAATTATTAATATCTCCACCAAGTCAACCAAAAGATATTTCTTCCTTTTCTTCTTTTTCACAACCAAAAGATCTTAACTAACTCCAAATGTTTTTTTCAATTTAGGTAAAACAAAAAACTTTTTAAGAAGTACGTAATCCATTAATTATTTTTTATTTGGTGTGGATGACTTGGGATCTTAAATGATTAATTTAAGAAGAGGTAACCCTATATGTGACAAATAGATGGCTGTGTTGGGGTCATAAAACATCAAACATGACCTTGCTAATGCTTTGATAAGGGAAATTAAGCTGATTTTGACTTTAGATATTTGGCAGCCACCTTGGGAAAAGCATTTGCTCTGCTATTTAAATTTTAAAGTAGCTCTCAAGGACAAATATTGATAATAAGACTTTGAGCGTAAACCAAAGCCGGCGACGACTGTAGCCTGGTCAAATACAAAGGAGAACACCAAGCTTTGCTTGGTCTTTTTGTTGGCTTGAAGAAAACGCCGAAGCAGCCTATACGTGTTCGACGTACGCAGATTTTATACAAGTGGTGTCATAATTTGAAGAAATATACAAATGAATAAACAACTATAATAATAAACAATGTATTATTTTCTAAATGTATCCCCAATATTTTTATTTTTTTTATAAACATATAATGACAAAGACCAAGCGATGTTTCGTGGCACCGCATGGTATAAGGTGCATAAGCCGGCTGTTCCTATACTCTGCTATAACAAGAAGATAGGAACCTTTTAAGAGCTTCAATTAAACAGAGCTTTCACAAATCAAGAGTTTCTCAATAACCTCAAACATATTAAGCAACTAGTAATCTCTGTTCAAGATAATTAATTTATGTACTCTCTTTTTTCTTTTTCTTTTTTGTGATTGTTACTAGTCGCTTGTGAGTATCAACATGTAAGATTTAAAATGGAGTATTTGAAGGGTTTTAGATTAGATATTGATATTATAGTTTAAGTTGGATTTGATCTGCAGAATTTGAACTTGAAAACTACGGGATTAAACCCTGAGCCCAATTAATTAGTTGGAAAAAATATATTAGTAGTTGGCTTTTAAGACTCTTATGAAACCATATAGGCATTTGAACTTGTTAGATTCAGGGGCAGCTCAAGCACATACGGGACCTACAGCCATAGTTTAATATAAGGCCTAAATTTTTTTTTAAAAAGTTATAAGATATGTTTTTATTTGAAGTCTATTCTTCTAACTTTTTGAGATACAAAGTTGTTAATAAATTTTTTTATAATCGATTTTCTCTAATAGTTCATAAATATAACCAACTTATTTAATCTTTCTTGAAATATTGTTGATCTTAGATAAGATTTTACAGAGCAATAGAAGTATAGAACTATTGGAAACTTAAAAGTATTGTTGAACACTTGAACTAATGAAATCTTTGAGAAAGAAAGTGAATAATGAAATCTTGGAGAAAGAAAGTGAGTAAGAATATCAAAGAGAAACAGAAAATATGTAGGATTTTCTGAAATATGAAGAGATTAGAAAAAAGAAAGATTGACTTGGACAAATCAAGGAAGAGAGAGCAAATATTTTAATGAAAGAGTAAAACGTGAAAAACTGAAACGTTGGAAAAATTATTCATCTTCCCATTTTTAATTAAGTCAAGTTATTACCTTATTTACATATTGTAGACAATAAATTTGCGTCGAGACAATAAAATCAAGACCGAAAAATATTGCAACAATCGTAGTATTTTATTTTGAATATTTGAGTGTCACAATCTCTATGAATCCTCTGATTCTTCTTTCCAATAGTAAATAAATTCAAGGGCCTTTGAGCTTGATCTTGAATCTATATTTGTTTCCACGAACGGTGATCTTGTTCTTGAGCTTGAGCTTTAGCTTGATTGCTTGAACTTGATCTTGATTCGTTCTTCGTTCTTGAGCTTGAACTTTATTTCTTGAACTTGATTGTTTGAAGCTTGAAACTTGTAGAGAAATTTTCGATCCACGAGCTCTCTCTTGCTTCTTGTTATAACTCCTGGTCCCTTTTCTGAGTTATGAAGACCCCTATTTATAGTTGTGGAAGGGAGGAGTTGTGATAAGAACAAACTCTTTCCGACCAATCAAATTGAAGTGTGACATGGCCGCATTTGATTGGCCAGAACATGTCACTTGCACACGTGGCGCGATTTCATTAGCCTTTTAGTGTGACTTGGCATGCCTTGTCATTTTGACACGTGGCATGATCCTATTGGCTCTTCCGTTTGACTTGGCGCGCCACGCATTTGACACGTGGCACCAAACTGGGCCTCTAGGAAGATGACATATTGGGCCTAATGAAGTGGGCTCATTACTTTAGCCCAATTAAATGGACTAGCCCAATGGATTAAGACTTATTTATTAATTCATATATATTGGACTTATAATTAATTCAACTATATTAGCCCAATAATAAATTGATTTGAACTAATATATCTTGAATAAAACATAGTCCAAATAATTTTATGGACTTAAATCCAATAAAATTTAGATGCCTACAAATGCCCCTACTTCAAGGCTTGTCGAAGTATGAGGTCATCAAACATCCGAGACTAGGCTTGAAGTATCTCGGGACAATAGCATACACATAGAACACATATAAATCGTTTATTGGATTTAAAATGTGTTGGGAGCGATTTAAAGAAAGTCTGCACATGCAATTGTCTTGGTTTTAACTTTGTCATAGTCACATGTTCACTTTTACTACATTGAACTTGACGAAGAGGTACCTATATAGCTGCCACCTAGGATTTGTCCTTTCTTTATACTTGATATTTACTTTGCAAAATCCTTGCCTTTGGACTGAAGCTCCACACGCATACTAAACCAAATCCTACTAGAAAACCAATTGTGCCATCCAAAAGACGACAGAAGTCTTCCTGCTTTTCTAATTCGAGTGGGCTTCTGAGACTTCGAAATCACCGTAACCCTTTTACGAAAATTTGTACGTCTCCAAATTGATTTAGAAAACTTCCTATTGTCCGTAGCTTTCTCCTTTCAACTTGATTAGGATAACAAATCCATGTTGGACTCTAACTGTTACTCCTCCCACATCGATATTATACTGTTGCTGGTCATCTACGGAGATCTATATAAACCCCATGCTCATGTGTTCATTAAGCATCAATCCACAGTCTTTGCAAACCACTTGAGTCTATTTTTGTGGACTCGGAAGCATTAACGCGAAGGTAATTTCTTCTTCTTTTCTCGTGCTTTTCTTGTTTTGTTGTCTTTTTTTTTTAGGTCAAGCGAGAAAGATATATTTTTGTTCAACAAGATGATCCACGCATAAAGAAGGCGGTCTTAGGGTGTGAGGGGATGAGTACTCATCCCTGCCCAAATATCGGAGGGATTAATGGCCCTATTCTTGGAGAGATTATTCTCAACGTGGCCCAATTCTTAAAGAGATTACTCTCAAAATCTTGGAGAGATTACTCTCAATGTGGCCCAATTCTTGGAGAGATTACTCTCAAAATGGCCCGATTCTTGGAGAGATTACTCTCAATGTGGCCCAATTCTTGGAGAGATTACTCTCAAAATGGCCCGACTACCGGAGAGATTACTCTCAATGTGGCCCAATTCTTGGAGAGATTACTCTCAAAATGGCCCGATTCTTGGAGAGATTACTCTCAATGTGGCTCGACTATCGGCGAGGCCAACTTAAGGTGCAAAGGGACTCATATGTCCATCTTAAGATTGGAAAGTTATAGTTCCTTTTAAGGACAAACCTACGAAGAGGCCAACTTAAGGTGCAAAGGGACTTATATGTCCACCTTAAGATTGGAAAGTTATAAAGCTTCAACTCGAAGACGACATCGACTTGAACACTTGGAAAACTTTGAAGATTTTGGCGGACTTTGCAGACTTCAACTCGAAGATTCGGAGGGCTTAAACAATTCAACTTTAAGACCGACAAATTTGAAGACTGAAACTTGAAGACTTCAACTTTGAGACTTGGAGGGCCTAAATATTTCAACTTGAAGATCGGCGAATTTGAAGACCGACGGACTTGAAGACTTCAACTTTGAGACTTGGAGGGCCTAAATATTTCAACTTGAAGATCAGCGAATTTGAAGACTTCAACTTGAAGACCGACGGAGTTGAAGATTTCAACTTGGGGACTTCAACTTGAGTACACTTGAAGACTTCAACTTGGAGACTTCGAGGGCTTAAATATTTCAGCTTCTCTTTTGCTTTACATTGTTCGACTTTTATCTTAGTCGCATAATTTTCAGCTTTACGTGCTTGTAACAAAAGATTCATATCTTGTCGTGGGAGAGTACAAATAATGAACCGTTTGATGAATTCAATATCTAAAATATATCCAATACTTAGAATCAAAAACCTTCAGAATCGCGCCGGATAATATTTTGAAACCAACTTTAGATTTCACCATGTTGAAAATTTTAAATTTGCGCAGTCTCACCAAAAAATTCATATCTCGATGTAGAAATATCGAAATTACAAACCATTTAATTTCAAGAAAACTAGACTTCAAGATCTAGAACATATCCAAAATTCTCAATAAAACAACTTCAGAATCGTCCCAGATAATATTTTGAAATCAACTTTATATTGCACCATGCTATCAATTCCAGATTTGCGTAGTCTCACCAAAAAATTCATATATCGGTGTAGAAATATCGAAATTGCAAACCGTTTGATTTCAAGAAAACTAGACTTCAAGACCTAGAACATACCCAAAATTCTCAATCAAAAGACTTTTGAATCGTCCCAGATAATATTTCGGAATCAACTTTACATTGCACCACGCTATCAATTCCAGATTTATGCAGTCTCGCCAAAAGATTCATATCTTGGTGTAGGAACGTCGAAATTGCAAACCATTTGATTTCAAGAAAACTAGATTTCA